GGTGAATGACAGAAGCAGCAGCAGCAGCAGCAGCAGCAAATGAATATAGTGGGCAAATGGCAGCAGCAGCAGCAGCAGCAGCAGAAACTTGATAAACAAACAGAGGAACCAGAATAGCAGCAATATTAGTAAGCAGCAGCAGCAGCAGCAGCAGCAGCAGCAGCAGCCGCTGCTGCTGGACCATCGCTGCAGCTGAGGGTTTTGGGTGAAGAGACCATAGTTGAGGCCCAGATTAAGGCCAGCAGCAAGGGCTTAGGGTTTAGGGTTTAGGGTTTAGGGTTTAGGGTTTGGGGTACGTAAGTTTCTGCTGCTCTCTGGGCCACGAGGCTTATCCGCTGCTGCTGCAGCAGCGCAATTGCATCCTGAGGGTTTAGGCGCTGCTGGCTGAGGTAGTCTCTGCAACCCTGAAAATAAATAAATAAATAAATAAATAAATAAATAAATAAATAAATAAATAAATAATAAATAAATGATTAATAAATGAAATAAATAATTAAATAAAAAGGTGAAAAAACGAAAAGAAGGGAGCAAATGGATGCATTTAGGTGCGCGGCAGCTTGCGGCGTGTAAACCCTAATTTAGGGTTTAGGGTTGCGGAGTTGCCTGTTAGCTCAAACGGCACTTCTGAGCTTCAGTTCTGCCCGGCTGCGTAAACCCTAATTTAGGGTTTAGGGTTTACCTGTTTGGCCTCGCCGAGGGCCTGCCACTGCTGCCTGAAAAGGTCTTTTTGAATTGGAGGTTTGTCTTCTAAAACATCTCCAAGAGTGTAAGAAATGGGAAAGTAAATTACACCCAATGAAGTCTTCAAAGCTGCCTGCAGCAGCAGCAGCAGCAGCAGCAGCAGCAGTAGAAGCAGCAGCAGCAGCAGCAGCAGTTGCAGCAGCAGTAGAAGCAGCAGCAGCAGCAGTTGCAGCAGCAGCAGCAGTAGAAGCATCAGCATCAGTAGTAGCAGCACCAGTATCAGTAGCAGCAGCAGCAGTAGCAGCAACAGTAGAAGCAGCAGCAGCAGCAACAGCAGCAGCAGCAAAGCCAGTAGCAGCAGCAGCAGCAAAGCAGCAATCAAAAAGCACAGAGAGCAAAAGCAACGGGAGCCGCGGCTGCTGCGGCGCGGCCTGCAGCGCCCCAGGCCCAACTAGGGTTTAGGGTTTAGGGTTTAGGGTTTAGGGTTTAGGGTTTAGGGTTTAGGGTTTGCCTGGATGGTGAGGGGCTCCGCCGGGGGGGCGTTGGAGTTGAGTTTGTTGAAGGCCAGGGGAATTAGGGTTTCGCGAAAACCCTCGGGAGAAATTTCGAAGTTAGAAAAAAAGGGTTTTGGAGAAACTCCGAAACTGTTGGAATTAAATTGCAAGTCGGAAATAAACACTGAAAAAGGGTTTTGGTTCCGCGCCCCCACGCGCAGGCTCGTGCCCCCTGACGCCACTCAGAAGGGCGAAATGTTGCACAGCGAAGTCAACAAACTGTTCACCAACGCGGGGGTGTTTCCCGCGCCCTGCATAAACCCTAAACCCTAAACCCTAAACCCTAAACCCTAAACCCTAAACCCTAAACCCTAAACCCTAAACCCCCCCCTAAACCCTAAACCCTAAACCCTAAACCCTAAACCCTAAACCCTAAACCCTAAACCCTAAACCCTGAAGCCTGGGCGTTCAGCCCTGGGCGTTCAGCCCTGGGCGTCCGCACGCAATGATAAGGGGAGCGATTAGCGCAGAGCGTTTCAGCGAACTAAACCCTAAACCCTAAACCCTAAACCCCAAACCCTAAACCCTAAACCCTCAGCATTAGCACTGAGTATTTGCCTTGAGACAGAGTTGTGCAGGCTGGAGCGGCCACGGCCAGGGACCTGGGGCTTAGAACTTGGCAGCTAGGGATTAGGGTTTAGGGTTTAGGGTTTAGGGTTTACCGCCCTCGGGCCTGAAGAAAGCAGTTGTGATCTCTAAACCCTTTTGCTGCCTCGCCTCTGGGGTTTCTGCTGCAAGCAATGAAGTGTGCTGCGCGGAAAAGGCCTTCTGCAAACAAACCCAAACCCTAAACCCTAAACCCTAAACCCCAAACCCTAAACCCTAAACCCTTAGCTTGATATCTTGATGCCCAACCATAGGCGAGAGACCTCTAACCCTAAACCCTAAACCCTCGACCCCAGCGAGACCCTCAGCTCCAAACACTCGACCCTCAATCCTCCGATGCCCCAAACCCTAAACCCTAAACCCTAAACCCTAAACCCTAAACCCTAAACCCTAAACCCTCACCGAGGACGCGCCGGAAATTGAAGAGTCGCTCAAATCTAGCAAATCCACAGGGCTGCTTCTGCAAAACCACAAAACACTTTTTTTAAAATCTTGCATGCAACCAAAGAAGCCCCAAGACATGCATGTGCGCTCTAAACCCTAAACCCTAAACCATAAACCCTAAACCCTAAACCCTCGAAACGCATGCATGCATACGCCTCGAAAGCTTCAAACGCATGCATGCATGCAGAGCTCAAAGCTACTCAGTGCAGCAATTAGGGTTTAGGGTTTAAGACGAGGGTTTGGGGTTTGAAGCTGCGGGATAGGTAATTAAGCTAGGGTTTGTTGTTTGCAGCTGGGGTTTAGGGTTTGCACCTAGGGTTTAGGGTTTGCGGCTAGGGTTTAGGGTTTGCTGCGCCGAGCGCCTCACTCTTCGGAGTCCGAGAGCGCGCTCCTGCTCCTACTCCTGCTGCTGCTGCTGCTGCTGCTGCTGCTGCTGCGGCTCTGCTGCTGCTGCTGCTGCTGCTGCTCTAAGGCCCTTCTGGCCCTCTCAACAACCTGCTGCCCCGACTCTTCTTGCGAAGAAAAGCTCCCCAAAGAGGGGCCCCCCAGGGGCCCCTCTAGGGGCCCCCCAGGGGCCCCCAGGGGCCCCCCAGGGGCCCCCGGGGGGCCCCCAGGGGCCCCCGGGGGGCCCCCAGGGGCCCCCTGGGGGGCCCCCGGGGGCCTCGTTTTGGGTACAAAAGTTTCGGGGAGTTTGTGGTAGACAGAGGCGACCATAGAAATGTTTCCTGAAATAAAAATAAATAAAAAATAAATAAAATAAATAAATAAATAAATAAATAAATAAATAAATAAATAAATAAATAAATAAATAAGTGAATAAATAAATAAGTAGATAATGAAAATGAAGCAGAGGTGAAAGGGAGACGTTTAGACACCAGAAACAGAAACCCTAAACCCTCAAGTAAACCCTCAAGTAAACCCTCAAGTAAACCCTCAAGTAAACCCTCAAGTAAACCCTCAAGTAAACCCTTGAATAAATCCGCAAATAAAACCCTAAAGCAAACCCCCGAAGGAATCTGAAATAAACCCTCGAGTAAACCCTTCGATAAACCCTCGCCTAAACCCTAAAAGGGGGAAAAGACCTAAGAGCTCTTCTAGGGTTTCTTTGTCGAAGTCCATTTCGCTGTCTCCGACGAAGTTTCTCGAAAAGAGAATTTTTCGAGTTCTCTCCGGGTCTTTTGAAAGCATTCTCCAATAAATAACAGCTGCAGCGAAAGAAACAAGGGTTTAGGGTTTAGGGTTTAGGGTTTAGGGTTTAGGGTTTGCGCCTGGGGAACTCAGGGAGCGTCGCCGCCGGCTGCGCATCTACGGCCTAGGGTTTAGGGTTTAGGGTTTGTGCGTGCGGCCCTGCTAATCCGCGGGTTGGGGTTTAGGGTTTAGGGTTGCGGGAGGCTAGGGTTTAGGGTTTGGCGAGGGTTTAGGGTTTAGGGTTTGCGGGCCTCTGTCTCTGACGTCTGGGCTTGCTGCTTGCTCCGTAGCAGCCTTCAGAAGAGCCGCGAGGGTTTCCTTGTGCTGATTAGGGTTTAGAATAAACAGCCGAGCAGCAGCAGCAAGGGTTTGCAGCTGCACTGCTGCTGCTTCTTCCAGAAAAGAAGACACAGCAGCAACCAACACTGTCACTGCTGCTGGCACTTCCTGCGTGAACTGGCCTGCGCAGCAGCAGCAGCAGCAGCAGCAGCTCGAGCGGCAGCAGCAGCAGCAGCAGCGGCAGCAGCAGCAGCAGCAGCAGCAGCAGCAGCAGCAGCGGCAGCAGCAGCAGCAGCAGCAGCAGCGGCAGCAGCAGCAAAGGCAGGAGACAAGTGGTGGTTTGGAAGCAAACTTAAAATTAATAAGCAAATAAATTGATTAAAATAAATAAATAAAAAACAAATCCATCAATTAAACAAATAAAATAACCAAACAACTAAACAAGCTAACAACTCAAAACAAACAAAAACATAACCAACTAAACAAACCACCTAACTAACCAAATTAAATAAATAAATAAACAAATAAATAAATAAATAGATAAACAAATAAATAAATAAACTAATTAAGTACCTAATCAACATAAATGAATAAATACATAGATAGATAAATAAATAAATAAATAAACCAATCAATTAATTAATTAAAACAAACAAATAAATAAACAATAAACTAATTAATTAAATATTTAAAATAAATAAATAAATAAATAAATAAATAAATAAATAAATAAATAAATAAATAAATAAATAAATAAATAAATAAATAAATAAATAAAAATAAAATAAATAAATAAATAAAAATAAAATAAATAAATAAATAAAAATAAATAAATAAAATACCACAAATCCAAATGAGGGCCGCCTTCGCCTCGGGCTCTTCGATTTGGTCGGCGGCGGCGCAGAGCGCAGCGACGAGTGCGGAGTAGTCCCCGGGGTATTTTCTAAAAATAAAAATAAATAAATAAATAAATAAATAATAAATAAATAAATAAATAAATAAATAAAATAAATAATAAATAAATAAATAAATAAATAAATAAATAAATAAATAAATATAATTGTAGAGGATTTAATTTGGAGGAGAAAACGCGAAAAACGGGCGCAGGGCGATGCGCGAGTCGCCAACAGACACCCAAACCCTAAACCCTAAACCCTAAACCCTAAACCCTAAACCCTAAACCCTAAACCCTGAACGCATTTGAAGCCCCGAGGCGCAAACCCTAAACCCTCGCCGTTGAGGCCCCAGGAGGCCCCAGAGCGTGGTTTTTCGTGGGGTTTACGCGAATTAGGGTTTAGGGTTTGGAAATTAGGGTTTAGGGTTTAGGGTTTGGACCTGAAGATGTCTGCGAGGACGAGGGCGACGTCGTGAACCACTAAAATTAGTGTTTTCTTTCAACAAGTTGAACAAAAGGTCCAAACAATTCGAAAGAGATGAAGAAAGTCGCAAACAAATTCGCCCAATTGCCTTCACAGCTCTTCGCCGCAACTCGAAGTCCACATCCACTGCGTAGTCCCGCAGTTCCGCGAGGACCTGCGCAATTAAATAATTAAATAAATCATTTAATTCATTTAATTATTTCATTTAATTAATTCATTTAATTAATTCAATTTAATTAATTCAATTAAATCCTTTATTTCATTCAATCCTTTTTGTTCTGTTCTTTTTCGGTCTTTTTCGCGAAATTCGCAAGCAAACAGCGCCTGCCCGCGCAGCAGCACAAACCCTAAACCCTAAACCCTAAACCCTAAACCCTAAAGGCAGCCCCAACCCAGCAATCGAGCCCACAGGGGCCCCGCTTGTGGGGCCCCACAGGGGGGCCCCTGTGGGGCCCCTTGGGGGCCCCCAAGGGGCCCCTAATTACCCCGTCAACAGTTCTCTCTGTGGCCAGCAGCACGAGGGCCTCCAGCTTTTCCACTTTGACAAAAAGTGGGTCATGAAAGCCGCAGTAAAATGCCTGCAGACGCGGACAAGCAGCAGCAGCAGCAGCAGCAGCTGCTGCAGCAGCAGCTGCTGCAGCAGCAAGGGGAGCAGCAGCAGCTGCTGCTGCAGCAGCAAAAGGAGCAGCAGCAGCAGAAAACGGGACAGCAGCAGCGAACGGGGCTGCAGCAGCAGCTGCAGAAGCAACGAACGGGGATGCAGCAGCAGCTACTGCAGCAGCAAACGGGGACGCAGCAGCAACTATAAGAGCAGCAAATGGGGATGCAGCAGCAGCTGCGCAGCAGCAAAGGAAGCAGCACCGGCTCCAGAGGCAACGACCCAGCAGCAGCAGCAGCAGCAGCAGCAGCGAATGCCAACCCAACAGCAGCACCACCTAATCCAGCAGCAGCAGCAGCAGCACAAAAAATGCAGCACCAAATCAGCAGCAGCAGCGCTGCAACAGCAGCAGCAGCGCTGCAACAGCAGCAGCAGCGCTGCAACAGCAGCAGCAGCGCTGCAACAGCAGCAGCCGCCGCACAACAGCAGCAACAGCAGCAGCAGCAGCAGCAGCAGCAGCAGCAGCAGCAGCAGCAAACCTTGATCTCGTTGGCGAGAATGGAAGGCCTCTTTCTGAGAATTAGTTGAATGTTTCTCAAAGCAACAAATTGAATTTCTGCTTCCAAAGAAAGAAGAGTCACTAAAGGCGGAGACAGCTTGCGGTGTATAGACACCTCGAAACTCGCGCTCGGGACCCTGCGCAGCCAGCAGCAAAACAGCGCCGCACTGCTGCTGCTGCTGCTGCTGCTGCTGCTGCTGCTGCTGCTGCTGCGGCTGCTGCTGCTGCTGCTGCTGCTGCGGCTGCTGCTGCTGCTGCTTCATTCTCTCCTGCTGCTGCGGCTGCTGCTGGTGCTTTCGTTCGTGCTTCTGATTCCGCTACTGCGGTTTCTGCTGCTGCTGTTGCTGCTGCCGCTGCTGCTGCTGCTGCTGCTGCTGCCTCGGCTCGTGCTTGTTTGTTACTTGTTTTGTGTTTGCCAGTTACCCTTTGCCAGTTATTTATAATTTACTTTTATTTATAATTTCTTGTTTGTTTTTAAGTTTTATTTTTGCTGCTGAAGTGGCTGGCGCGAAGAAAACCATTTTTAGTTTTTATTGAAACAGCACTCGCCGCTTGCTGCATAAAGCAGCAGCAGCAGCAGCAGCAGCAGCAACAGCAGCAGCAGCAGCAGCAACGGCAGAAGCAGCAGCAGCTGCAGCGAAAACAGCAGCAACGGAAGCAACAGCAGCGACAGGAACAGCAAGACAGAAGCAGCAACTGCAGCAGTAAAGTGAGTGACAGCAGCAAAAGCCGCATTAACAGCAGCAGCAGCAGCAGCAGCAAAAGTAACAGCAGCAGCAGCAGCAGCAGAAAAAGTAACAGCAGCAGCAACAGCAGCAAGAGAACGTAAAGCGGCGCCAGTGACATGAAAAGTACCAGATATTGCCAAATAAATAAATAAATAAATGAGCAAAGAAATAAATAATTCGATTAAATAAATAAATAAATAATTAATTAATTAAAATGAAATTAAAATAAATAAATGATTGACTAATTAAATTCATTTGCTGCTCACTTGTCCAACAGCTTCAATATGACTTTCACCGCGGAGAGAATAACTGAAATGAAAATAGAAAAAACAAATAAATAAATAAATAAAATTAATAAATAAATAAATAGATAAATAAATAATTAATTAATTAATTAGACAATTAATTAATTTATTATTAATAATTAATTATTTAATAATTAGAAAGAACTTCAAAAAAATAAAACAAAGAAATGGATTTAAAATAGAAACATTCAAAGCTAAGAAGACAAGTAAAGAGGCAAATGCGGGGAATTAAAAAGGAAAAAAAGACTTTTAAAAAGAGATAAAAAGAATTTAAATAAAAGATGAAAAGGACTTTAAAATGAGACTAAAAGGGTTTTAAAAGGAAGACCAAAAGGATTTAAAAAGAAGACAAAAGTGGAAACAAAAAGGGGACAAAAAGAAATTAAAAAGAAACACAAATAGCGAAAATGGGACCAAAAACCCGCAAGCAGACATCAAAATTGGCCAAAATAAAACACAAAATGGCAACCCAGAGAGGGCCCAAAATACAGACAAAAGAAACCCCAAAGAGGCACCAAAGGGGCCCCAAAAGGGCCCCAAAAGGGCCCCAAAAAGGCCCCAAAAGGGCCCCAAAAGGGCCCCAAAGGGGGCCCTGGGGGGCCCCCGGGGGCCCCCCGAGGGGCCAAAAGAGGCCCCAAAAGGCGCTGAAGAGCGGCTTAAAAGGGGCCCCAAAAAGCAAAAAAAGATTAAAAATATACCTGCGGGGTTTGCGTGGGATAGGCGAGGAAGAACTCTTTCAATGACAGCCTCTGCGGCCTTGGGAGTCCCCCGGTCGTAGGCGACGAGGGCGTCGAGAATGAAAACTTGGCCCCATCTGAAAATTTAAAAAATAAAAAAAATAAAAATAAAAATAAAAATAAAAAAGAAATTAAATTCTTTTGAAGTGGTTTGGGCCCTTCAGGCAGTCAGATGGAGTTAATTGGACTCTAAATTCCGTTAAATGGAGAAAATTGGAGCTAAAATGAATTTAAATTCATTTTAATTCATTTAAATTCATTTAAATTAGTTAAAATTAATCATGATTCATCAAAATTAATTAAAAATAAAATAAATTATAGTGAATTATAATGAATTATAATTCAGTAAGAAGCGAGAGGAAAGAAAACACGCTGGAAAGCTTTTCAATAAAAGAAATTAAAAGAAATTAAAAGAAATTAAAAGAAATTGAAAAAATAAAGCAAATGAAATAAAATAAAAAAATGAAATGAAAAAAGATATCAAAAGAGATAAAGAGAAACAAAAAGAAATAAAAGAAATGAAAAGAAAAAGAAAAAAGAGACAAAAAGGCAAAAAATAGAAAGAAAAAATGGAATAATAAGGCCACTATAAAGACACAAAAAAGAAAAACAAAATATAACAAAAAAGAAAAAAAAAGAAACAAAAAAGAAACAAAAAGGAAACAAAAAAGCAAAACAAAATATAACAAACGAAACAAGAAAAAGAAACAAAGGGAGGCAAAGGGATAAAAGTTAAAGGGAAATAAGCGAAGATAAAACGAAATTGAATATAAAACTAAATTAAAAACAAAATGAAATTAAAAAAGAAATAAATAAATCAAAAATTAAAAATTAAAAATTAAAAATTAAAAATTAAAAATTAAAAATGAAAAAGAACTCACTCAGTGCATTCGTTTAAAGCGCTCAGAAGGCGGGAGACGCAAGAGCTGTCTTTTGCTGCAAAAAAGAAAAATAAAATAAAATAAAATAAAATAAAATAAATAAAATAAAACAAATAAAATAAAATAATTAAATGTGGAATTGATTAAATGAAATTGAATTTAATTCAATTTAATTAAATTAAATTAAAAGTGAAATAAAGTGAATCCAGAAACAGGAAAAGACAGGGGTGACAGAAAAAATGAGAAGGAACCAAAAAGAGAGAAAAAGAGATCCAAAAAAGATAAAAAAAAACGAAAAAGGAAATAAAAAAAGAGACAAAAACGAGCCAAAAAGAAGTCCAAAAAGATCCAAAAAGAACTCCAAAAAGATCCAAAAAGAACTCCAAAGGGATCTAAAAAGAACTCCAAAAAGGTCCAAAACGAACTCCAAAAAGATCCAAAAAGAAGTCCAAAAAGACGCAAAAAGAACTCCAAAGAGATCCAAAAAACACAATAATAAAAAAAAAGGAAGAAAAGAAGGAGAAGCGAAAATCCGCTTCGCAGCGGTGGGCCAAAAATGGCTCAAAAAAGGCACAAAAAGGCTCAAAATGGCGCAAAAAAGCGCAAAAAAACCCCGAAAAGAAACCAGAGAAGCAGAATCCGAAAAGAAGAATAAAAATCCAAAAAACTCCGCAAAAACCCAAAAAAAAGCAAAAAAGAATCAAAAAAAAGCAAAAAAAAACCAACAATTGAAACTCGCGGGGCTGCAGCCCCAGGGGGGCCAAAGGGGCACAGAGAGCCCCCAAAACGGCGGAAAAGTGGCGCAAAAAGCGGAAAAAAAACAGAAAAAAAAGCGGAAAAAGGAAATTAAAAGAGCCTGGAAGAAAGCGGAGATTGCGGAGATGCAGAAAATGAAAAGGCGGAGAAAAAAAGATGCAAAAAAGTGGAAAAAATACCAAAAAGAGACTTGAAATGACAACGACCCGATAGGCGAGATATCTCCCCCAAAGCCGCCACCGCGTTGGACACCACCAGCGGGTTGGAATCCAAAAACATATTTAGGAGGAGCTGGAAAAGAGGCTGGCCGTGGACCATGTCGGGGCGCACGTCTGCAAACCCTAAACCCTAAACCCTAAACCCTAAACCCTAAACCCTA